GGCTCATTCAACCCTGGCTCCTCTGCTCAGATGGCCAGGCTGCATCAGCTGGGCGATGGTTTTGGTGATGTGTCGCATAGGGCACTAACCGATGGCCACAGCCTGTTCCTTCTGTGCAGGGCTGCCCTAGAGGGGAAACCCATGGCCCTTTCCCCTGAGCCAGCCAGCTCTTTGGGGATCTTCTGCTGGTTTGACCTCCCTGTTGAATTACACCAAAGCCTTTGTTACGCTCCATCCTCCAATCGGCCCCGGTGCCCTTTCCTATACACCTGACTCTCAGGCAGTGTCTCTGCAGCTGCTTAATCCTCCTCCTGTATCTGCAGTAAGTGTATGCATGTTGCAAGATCCCTCAGGGCTATATCGTTTCCCACCCTTGTGAACCTAGTCCGCACCCTGGTGAGTATTCTGCATGGCCCTTACTCCAGAGAAACCTATCCAGCGAGGCAGATTGAGAGCAGAACTGCCGTGTGCTCCATGGCTGTCCCGACAGCAGTCCTAGGGCCTTTGCCAGGGAGCGTGTTGGTTTCTATTTGTAGGACGGTAGTGTCAGCCAAAATCGGGCCCCTTTGTGCTGGGCCTAGTGCGAGGCAGGGATGTCCCGGTGAGCTTACGACAATCGAAACCAACACGACAGATGCAGGGTGGGAGAAAGGAAGCATCATTGTCCCTATTTTATGGCTGGGGGCTGAGCCGCAGAGAAGGGAAGTGATGTGCCCATGGTCATGCAGTGAGTTGGTGGCAGAGGTGGGAATTGAACCCACAGCTCGTGAGTCCCAGTCTGGTGCCTTAACCACATGATCATTTTCCTCCTCATGCACCTCTGCCCTCGTTTCTCTCTCTGCAGTACGAGAAAGCTCTCCTGCGAGGCTACGTGGAGTGCTGCTCCAACCTGACCTGGTGCACCAACCCCCAGGGCTGCGATCAGGTCCTTTGTAAGGAGGGACTCGGCTGCGGAGAGGCCTGCTCCAAGTGCTGCTGGATATCCTGCTTCAACTGCAATTTCCCAGAGGTACAGCTGAGGTTTGCTCGGCCGCGGGCCTGTCGTCATGCCAGCTCGCTACTGCCTTCCTGCTCCCCCGTGACTTATGCTCTGTCCCTTGCAGGCTCATTACCCTGCCAGCTGCAGCCACATGTCCCAGTGGATGGATGACGGTGGGTACTATGAAGGGATGACAGTGGAAGCCCAGAGCAAACACCTGGCCAAACTCATCTCTAAGCGCTGCCCCAGCTGCCAGGCTCAGATAGAGAAAAACGAGGGCTGTCTACAGTGAGTATCTTTCCTCGTTTGGGGGCTGGGCCAGGAGGAGATGGGAGGGATCCAGGCAGGTTTCTGGGGCACTTCAGAACATAAGAGCGGCCAGAGTGGGTCAGACCAAAGGTCCATCTAGCCCAGTATCCTGTCTACTGACAGTGGCCCATGCCAGGTGCCCTAGAGGGGGTGAACAGACCAGGGAATCCTCAAGCAATCAGTCCCCTGTCGCCCATTCCCAGCTTCCAGCAAACAGCAGCTAGGGACACCATCCTTGCCCATCCTGGCTGATCGCCATTGATGGACCTGTCCTCCATGAATTTCTTGAGTTTCTGTTTTTGCTGGTCCTGGCTTGGCTTCAAGGAGATGAGCGTCTGTGCTGTTGTCCTGTTACCCCATTGGACTGCTGAGCTGCTCTGGTTCATGGGATCTGCGGAGCCCTTTGTTGATCCCAGGTCCTCGATGGCCAGAATGAAATCCCCCGATGGCTCTGCAGTGCTGTACGTGATATAAGTGGGTGGGGCTTGGTCTGGTTTTCAGTGGACAGTTGCCCACCTCACCACTACAACTAGGACATGGCTTGGTCTGCATGCTGGAGCACAGGAGATGCTCAGCTCTGCCACTGTTCTATTCGGGTGACTTGCGCCAGATCACCCACATTCTGTGCTTGCTTGTCCTGAATGATCAGGAGAGCAGTGTTCTGGCACTAGGTGCAAGTGGCTGATACAATAGGGGGATCATTGATGTCTGAGCAGAGAGGATGAAACTTCCCGTGGGAAGAGCGCAAGGTGCCATGCAGTAACGGCACCCGTGAAGGATGTTGAGGGGTTAAGCGCCCTGTCTGACAGCTGAAGTGCTGAGGATCACCTGTCCCGGCCATGCAATCTCGAGCGAGCGGCCTTGGGAGAGGGGTTTGCAAGGCAGAGTGCCGAGGGAGGACGAGGAGACTCGTGAGCGACGCAGGCCCCAGAGAGCTGCCTCTGTGGATAGGGCAGTGCTTTGAGGTTCTGCAGGATAGAGTTGCTCATGCCATTTTTTTACCACCCTGTCCAAAGCTCTGTGTTCATCACAAATTACACGAAGAAAACGTCCGACTTCACCTCACCGATTTCTGCTCCAAATGAGAAACCGACCCGCAGAGCATGGACATTGTCAGCGCTGCTAGGCACAGGAGCGACAGGTGTTCTCCTTTCAGTACTATCAGTGCAGATCCCTGCTCTGTGCACTGCCCAAAGCACGGAGCCCTCTGACCTTTGGGGCCATGTGGCCTTTGCCTGGAGCTGTGGCGCGCTCCATGGTAAGCTATGTTCCTGCCTCCCTTGGTTCCTTCCCACACCAGACCAGAAAGTTGAAACTTCCTCTGGTTTCTCAACTTCCTACTCGTTGGACACTTCTTATGTTTGCGCCTTAATTAGGAGCTAGCTTCAGTGTAAACTGTTAGCACAGCAATAGAACTAGTGTGTGGTGTGGGTATGTTTTTATGAGTTTCTTAATTCTGACTCACCCTCCCTCTAGCCTCTTTGAGGTAGTTTTGGTGTTTTTGCTGTAGGGACAAATAAGGAAAACTCTAGGTTTCAGGATTGATTGTCAAGAAGTCCATAATAGACCCCCAACGGTTTAATTCAGGGCCCTACATCTAGGAACAAAGAATGTAGATCCCCATACAGCACTGGGGGACTGTCTTCTGGAAAGCAGCAAGTCTGGGAAGGACTTGAGGGTCATGGAGAAGATGAACCGTACACATGCCCCTAGCGTGATGTTGTGGCAAAAAGTCTGTGGGTCCTTGCGTGTATAAATGGGAACACGGAGGAGGAGTAGGGAGGTGGCCTCACATGTGACTAGGGTGCTTCTGAGACCATTCCTGGAAGCTGTCTGTTCATTTCTGGTGTCCACACTTTAAAAGGAGGTTGACCGAAGAGATGCCAGAGCTATTGGAGGCCTGGAAAACCTGTCTCCCAGTGAGAGACTAAAGCAGCTTAGTCTGTGTGTCGGGGTTTAGTGGACGAGAGAGGGAGACTACACGTACCTGCCTGCAGAGGTGATTTCTGATGCTAGAGGGCTCTTGAATTCAGCAGAAGGCAGCACAAGATCCGGTGGCTGGACGTTGAAGCTCAAAGCAAAACATTCAAATGGGAGATAAAGCGTTCTTTTTTGCGGGTAGTTAACCCTTGGGACTAAGGGCTGGATTCTCCATCACTGGGCATCGTGCCATCAAGATTGGGTGTCTTCTAGAAGTCATGCTCTAGCTCCGCCACAGGTCAGGGGGCAAAGCTATTCTTTGAGAGGCTGTGTGTTCCCACTTACAGGAATGGTGCCCTGGTCCCTTGAGTCTACAGTGTCCATTGGGCTGCACACTCTTTAGTGGCATTGAACGTTCAACACCCAACACTACTTGGCATGCAGCCCTCATCTGCCTCAGTTCCTTCGCAGCCACTGCAGAGAGCACAGAAAACCCGTCCCGGATAAATAAACCTGCCAGTCCCCTGACCTGAGGGTAGCTTTTAGTGGCTTTGCCATGGTTCCACACTGAGGGCCGGAACTGAGCCCCATGAGGGGTTCAGAGGACATGCTACTTGTCCAGCCCTTGAAGCCTGATGCATGTGTTGGGAGCCTGGTCTGTCTGAGGGAAGTGCATTCCCTGGCATATGCTGAGCGTTTGCTTCTGGAGCGCCGTGAGAGAGTCTCTGGGGCTTCAGCCTTATTGTACCAACAGGGAGCTGAAAGGTCTGAACTCCGAACAATACCCAGAACAACCCTCATCAACTCCTAGACCCACTATGACTAAGTGGGCAAGGCTGTTGCCTCCACACTCAGATATTGTCTCCCAAGGCCCATTCCTTCCTCTGGCTTCAGCCTGGGTTCACCTGACGTCTCGGTTATTGAAAAGAAAGCCTTAACAATGCTCCATCAATCTGCCAGAGTCATCCAGATTTTGCTAGCACCCAGGAGAGCCTCATACTCCTCCATCTGGTCCAGGTTCAGTGGCTGGTGCCAAGAGCATGGGGTGGACCCAAGAAACGGGAGATTTCAGCCATTTTGGACATTCTCCAGGAAGGCCTAGACAAGGGCCTTCAATCCAGCACCACAGCTCACCAAGTTTCTGCTTTCAGGAGCATCTTTTTTTATGGGGTCTGCGGGTTCCTTGGCAGAGAACCGCCAGACCTCCAGGTTCCTCAGAGCGGTCAGGCCAGTCTCCCAAAATGGGATCTGTCGCAGGTTTTGAAGGCTCTAACAGATCATCCCTTCAAGCCCCTGACTTCAGTGTCCCTAAAAATCTGTTTTCTTGTCGCTATCACATCTGCTAGATGGGTATCAGAGCTGGCGTTATTGTCTGTGCAGGAAACAGGGTGGTGCTGAGAACTAGAGTCCTTTCTTCATGAAGTAAATTCTCCCTTTCGGCGTTCCCAAGAAGCCGTCCATCCTTCGTTCTGTCTGAAGCCACAAGATCTGGTAAAGGAATGGCACATCCCAGAGCTCAGGAAAGTGGTGGAAATCTACGTCAAGCGCATAGAATCCACAACGAGGTCAGGTGCCCTGTTTGTGTCCTTCCAGCCTAAATGTCAAGTTTCCAAGTCGTCCATGGCTAGGTGGCTTCGGCTCTGTATCGTTGAGGCCTACAAGGCATCAGAAACCCGGCTCTGGAGGGTGTCCGTGCATTCCATGAGAGCTCTAGCTGCCTCGTGGATGGAACGAACGAGATATTCCACATTGAACATCTGCAGAGCAGCCACCTGATTGCCAACCAGCACCTTCATCAGTCACAAGAAGGTGGACTTTGTCCTCAGCAGAGGCTTCCTTCGGCAGGCAGGAGCTGCAGGCGGTGGCCCAAAAATGATGTTGACTTTTGAGCAATTCTTACGAAAAAGGGTTGTCCCCATTTTTTTCCCCTCTTCTGTCTCATTGCTGGATTTCTTACCTTCCCCTCCCAACCTCTGTTTACTGCTTGCTACTTCCCTGACGTCTCAGAATTGTGGGAGACGCTGGGCTGCAGAATGGAAGATTATTATTATTATTATTATTATTATTTTTTAAACAGATAACATCCTTTCTGCTGGCAGCATCTCTCACAGTTCTACCCACCCTGCAGGACGTTATGCCAAAGGGTCTGGTATTTTCTTTGTGCTGGATTGTTACGATGTGGGCCGTATGCCGGTTCTCTAGAGCTGCTGGGCTCCCATGGAAGTTGTAGATCTCTTTCTACGAGTTCTGTACAGCTTTGGAATGACTCATCTGGCAGCAAGCAAGAGCAGGGGGGTGGCCAGTGCTTGTGACGCTGCAACTTTGGACAGCCTCTGTGAACAACAGCGCAGAGAGGAGCAGCCAAAGTGTCGTGGAGTTGAGAGACACTGGTAGCAGAAAGGAGATTATCATTAAGAAATCTTCCAATTCCTTGTCCTCCTTCCCCTCCACTGCTCGTACTTATTCGTTACACTCTTTCGCTTCAGTCTAAACTGTAAACTCTTTGGGACAGGGTCTGTCTCTATTTTTCTACAGCACCCTGGGTCCTCTGAGCAACTGATATAGAATAAAAATAGTGGTTTGTGTGTGAGGGAAGCGTGCAGAGCTGAACACGTGAGACTCAGCCGCCCCCATACGCCAGCACTGCAGCCACATTCCAATGCCCAGGGACCGGGCGGGTGTCTGCAGGGATTGGGACTGTTTGCTACTGCACCTTGCATCAGGCCAACTCCAGCTCCCCTTCTCTCTTCTTCCTATGCAGTATGACCTGTGCCAAATGCAACCATGGATTTTGCTGGCGTTGTCTCAAGCCCTGGAAGCCAACGCACAAGGATTATTACAATTGTTCTGCCATGGTGAGTGTTTGCTGCGTGCAAGTGGTTTGGATACTCCTTGGGGTGAGGACAGACTTCGGGACTCTCGGGATCTCCTCTTGTGCTAAGCCTGTGGCATTTGGTGGTTGTGGGCCATGCATGTTGTGGCCCTCTTGTGTTGACCCCCCATGGAGAGATCTGCCACTCCGGGTAACTGCTGCCTTTCCCTGCAGGTGAGCAAAGCAGCTCGGCAGGAGAAGCGTTTCCAGGACTACAATGAGAGGTGCACTTTCCATCATCAAGCGAGGGTAAGGGCTCCTCCTCCCACACTCCGGGCACAGGCCCTGCCTCCTAACCCCAGGTGCCCACGGCAGGCGATTCAGAATCCAGTGTGGCTGGAGTTGAGGACTGGGAGCGTGTCCCCCTCCCCCGTGGCATGTGATTAAAATTCTCTCGCAGTATGTTCCTCTCTGCCGACTCTGATTGGGAGCGTGGGGATGAGGCTGATGGGGTGGCAGAGAACAAGTCAGGTCCAGTACGGACTTATAGACTTCTGTGGAGGCCACTGGTAGGGGACAGAAGCTGCTGGAACTTTGCTGCCACTGCTCCTCGAAGACCTTGCCAAGAAAAAGGACAGGATTGGCCTAGTAGCTGCCTGCCACGGAGCACTGTGTAAGCTCATGGGGCATTAGCTCTTCATTAGACTTCACCAGCTATGAGGGGCGGGATCAGTTTGCACAGATGGTCAGCCAGGCATTCCCCAGCAATTCTAGGTGCAGATTCCATCGTGGCAGGCTAGATGGAGACGGGTGGTGTCGCTGGAGGCACCTCGGTCTCAGCAAGGCACAATCGGTCACAAGCTCTTTGCATTGAGCAGACTCCGCATCGCTCAGCCCAGCTCACTGAACAGAATAGCTGGGCTGGCGGTGTGATCGTAAGAGGGACGAGGCAGAAACCTCCCTGAACCCGGGAGCTCAGTCCTTCGTAAAGAAGAGGTGGGGAGGAGGGGCGACTGATCCCTTCTGGCTGGGGGAGTGATCTGGAAGCCAGTTGAGGGTGAAGCCGGGAGATGACTTTGCTCTTGGTGGTTGTAGGAATTCGCTATGAACCTAAGAAACCGAGTTTCTGCCATCAGCGAGGTGCCGCAGATTCGAACCTTGACCTTTGTTGTGGATGCCTGCAAAGTCCTGGAACAGGCCCGGAAGGTAAATGCGTGAGGAGCAGGAGATCGATCGGCTTTATTTTGAGGTATCGCAGCAGTGCTCAGGGACCCCGTGGTGCTGGGCACTGTACAAGCGGGCACTAAGAGAGGGTCCATGCCCCAAAGAGCTCGCAGGCCAAATAGCTAAGATGGACACAGGCTTGGAGGGGGAATGGAGGCACAGAAAGGGGAGTCATTGGTCCAGGGTCATGCAGCAGGGCTGGGACTAGAACTCAGGTCTCCCGAGTCCTGGTTGGTGTCTTAACTACTAGACCAGGCTGACCTGCCATAGACACTGGAGAGGGGAAAATCCTATTAAATTACCTCGTCCATGCCCAGTGTCAGTGCAGAGGTGTACCTAATAGGCTTCACCAGGGCTTTGCCCTGTCCACATTGAAATTTCCCAAATGATGGAACTTCCCTGGGTATGAACTTGGAGGGTTGTTGGGTATGGGTGGGAAAAGTATGGAACAAGTTTTTTTTGGAGGGTGAGGAGGGATTGTTCGGGAGCTTCCCCCATGCAGACCCTGGCTGAACCCTAGCCTTTCCTGTTCAGTCAGGCACATCTGTTCCTGTCCCCATGTGTTCCTGCACCCCCATGTGTCCCTCCACCCCCACTCAGACACCCACTCCCCCCTCCCCCATCCCCCGTGTGTCTCTGTGCCACCACCCCACTCCCCATGTGTCTCTGCTCCCACCCAGCCACCCCTGGCTCTATGTAGCTCTGCACCCCGTCCCCATGTGTCTGTGCCCCCACCCAGCCACCCCCTGTCCCTATGTAGCTCTGCACCCCTCCCCTATCACCATGTGGCCCTGCACCTCCACTCCCATTCAGTCCCTGTCCCAGTCTGTCCTCCCCCACTAGCCCTTATGAGCCCCTGTCTCGACCCCCCCCCCCCCGCCAATACCCCACATTGTCTCCCCATGGCCCGTCTTCTAACCTGGCCCACTGCGAAGAAGGCAGGCTCTTTCTCTTCCCTTGCTGGCGGGGAGCTGCTGCTTTGTTCAATTGCCACAGCACCCTCTGGTGGGCAAAAGGCAGTACTGCGGCAACAGTTTGGCAGATGCTTTTTTCTGTGCAAAAATTTTAAAATATGCAGGGCTTATTAATTATGCACACGCACAGTACCGCAGCATTCCCCCAGAAGTAAAGAACACCTTTGTGCATCTCCGCTCTGAGCTCTCAGGAAAGGTAACGGGCCCTGTGGCAGCTCTTCTGTTTACTTCCGATCCTGCTCTGAAAGTCGGTACCTCCTTTGTTTTCTGCACTCGCCTGAGGCCACGCACGTTCTGCATGGCTTTTCAGAAATATTTCAATGGGTGGTTAGCGGTGTTAGCTATTTCCCGCAGGTCTAAACTGGCTAACGTGTCTGTGTTCGTGCTTTCCTGATAGCGAAGGCAGTTTACCCGGGGGTTTTGCTTGGCACCTGAGCCCTTGGGTAGCATCACATTGTCCAAACTTGTTTTGTTTTGTCTGTCGCGTGTAAATGACAGCTGAGCGTATCTGCCACTAATGGTCCTGTTCTTCCTCTCCCTGCTACTGTGCCTGTCTTCAGTTCTTCTCTCAGGACCTTAACAGCACCCTTGAGTATAATGAACCCTGCTTCACGCTGTCATTTGTTATCTATGCATAACAATCCAAGGGTGGCTCCTTCTGGCCCCGTCTCCTGGCCAGTGGTTGAAAAGCAGTCGGCATCTGGGCAGTGCTCCCTGGGCCTAGGAAATGCCCAGAACTTTCAAACCTAAAAGTCATAAAGGGCAGTGTAATGCTGGAGAGAGTGGATTGGAAACCTGGCTGCCTGACATGGACACTTTCCATCACTCCTAGTAAACCATAAACGCCCTGGAAGAGCCAGGGCTTTGATCCAGCATCCTCTGTGGGTGGAGGAGCTCTACAGAGCTCCTGTTCGTCTTAGCTAGATAGGTCCAGAGCTTTCCGGCTCTGCAGCTCGCTGTCTCGATGGCACCTGCAGCCACCTCCTGTCAGAGAGGAGAGCGCGGCCGCCGTTAGGGAACTGGCTTTGGATGATGTGAGCTGTGTGTGAATACGAGGGCTCATGCTGTTGTTACTCTCCATCTGGCTTGGCTAACAATGGGTCTGAGGCTTCAGGTGCCGTTCAGGCCCTTCTATCAGTCTGTTCTGTTCCCAGTTCCCGTCCCTCTGACATCGCTGTAGCATGTGCAGCCACCATAGAAACCAACTTCTGCGTGTCACACACGTGTAGTTCTCCTGGCCTCGGGGCTTAAGGAGGACCACTGATGGGGTTCTCCTGGGGATGTCTGTGGAACTGGCAAGAGGCGTTTGCGATGGGGAATGCCTGTGGGAACGTGTTTGTGCTGAGATGCTGTGTAACCCTATGAGCCCCCTTGCCCTCGCCTGTCTGCTGCTAGGCTGTTTTCTTACACTCTCACCTTGGCTAGTTCCTGCCTTGATTTAACTCGGCGTGTCCATGAATCTCATGACCGTGCTCACGTCTAGTTTGGGCTTCCCTGCGAGCCTGTACACGTGCCTTGCTCGGCGTCGTTTGTGCCATCCCTGACCGCTGTTTGCTCACTCTGTGGTGCCAGTTCACGTGCTGCCCACACTTTGCCGTTGGATGGCTACCCCTGGGTCAGAGCGGGGACCGCCAAAGCCCACCCAGCGCACTGCAGCGGTTGGTGGGGTCAGGGTGCTCCCATTAGTGCCAGGTGAAGTCAGAAATGAACTTCCAGCTTAGAGCCCCTGGCTGTTCCGTCCGTGCTGGCGCTGACAGCCGGCTCTGTGCTGTTCCAGGTGCTGGCTTACTCCGCTGTCTACAGCTACTACAACCAGGACACCGAGAAGATGGATGTCATGGAGCAACAGACGGAGAACCTGGAGCTACACACCAATGCTCTGCAGATCCTTCTGGGTGAGGGGATGGTGCTGCGGCCTGGGGGCGGGCGGGCGGCTGCGCAGTGAGGGAGGCGTGCTCACCAACTCCTTAGCTCTGTCCTGGTATTGGGTTGGAGGTGTCCCATCCAGGAGCAGCTCTGGCCTGGTTCTGCTTAGCTTATCCGCCTGGATCCAGTCCAAAGGAATCAGATACAGATTTTTAACCACTGGGACAATTTACCCAGGGTTGTCCTGGAGTCTCCATCAGTGTTCACCTTTAACCCGTGGTTGGCTGGGTTTCTAAGGGAGCTGCTCTATCTCAAACAGGAGTTCGTGCAGGGAAGTTCTGTGCCCTGTGCTATACAGGAGGTCAGACTCCATCACAGTGGTTCCTTCTGGCCTTGGAACTTGGGAATCTGATCTGGCTGCTGGCGAGCAAGAGGGAGTCTCCATCACTCCCTCCGCCCCAGCCCTGCCAGAAGGAAGGCGGCTGCCAGCAGGCCACCTAGTGAGTGTGCTATGACAGCATGTGTGTGTGTGTGTGTGTGTGTGTGTGTGTGTGTGTGTGGCCCCGTTCACTTGGGGCATCCGCTCTCGCTTCTGGTGCCAGGTCCCTGAGCAGGGATGCTGTGTAACGCTGCCTCTCTTGTGTTCCAGAGGAGACTCTGCTGCAGTGTCAAGACCTGGCCTCCTCCATTCGGCTGTTCAAAGCCGAGCATTTTAACACTGGCCTGGAGCTGGTGCGCAGGATCCAGGAGCGGCTCCTCGCCATCCTGCAGCACTCCACTCAGGTACCAGCTGCAGGAGCCTCGCCATTTCAGCGGGGGGATGCGGCGGGTGGGGTGGGAGGGAAGGGCAGGCTTTGTCCCCTAAGCTGTGCCCTGGAGTGTGAGTGGGGGCGTGCAGGGGGTGAAGTCTCTTGTTCTGACTGTTCCATCCTGGCAGGATTTCCGCGTCGGCTTCCAGGCCCGGCCAGGCTCCGACCAGAGGGAGATGAAGTTGTCAAATGTGCCTAATGCCGCCCCACCTTACAAAGAGTGAGTTTCCTTCTCGGGGGACACTGGGGCGGGGAGGGAGGGGAGGAGCAGGATGCCGCCATTTCCGACTGGATGCCGAAGTGTTCGTGACACCAGCTCAGGGCTCCCACACCTTCCTGGGTGTCCACTGTCGCCGTGGGAGAGGGACCAGGCAGCCAGTGTGCAGCTGTGAGCAAAGCAACCCCTAAAGAATGAGAAGGCGAATAACAATAGATGGCAATGCCACTAGAGAAATCCCTGGGGTGGCCTCCCCTGGAGACTGCGCGCAGTGCTGGTCACCCCATCTCACCCAGGATAGTGCCGAGCTAGAGGGGGGCAGAGAAGGGCGACGCGGACGGCCAGGGGCCTGCAAAGCTCTCCTGTGAAGACAGACCGAAAAGATCGGGACTGTTTACTTTAGAGATGAGACCGAAGGGGAGATGGTAAAAGTCTATGACGTGAAGACTGGGGCAGGGAAAGCAGATGAGGCGCTTCGGTTCTCCCTGTCTCCTAGCGTGAGAACAAGGGAAATTCAAATCCTTCACCGTGGGTGAAAGGAAAGCCTCTGTCAGCGGTGATCACACTGCAGACTTACTGCCGTCGGCTGGCTGAGGCCAGAAACGTAGCAGGGGAATGGCCACTTTCTGTGACTAACAAGAGGAGAGCGATCGTAGCTGATGGAAGGGATGGGAAACCTCCTGCTCAGGGCTGGAGAGTCTCTAGCTAGTAGGGATCAGGAGATCACCAGATGCAGGGGGCCAGTTTTCACCCCTGCCTACTGCCGGCCCTGATGTCAGAGCCCGGAAACTGGCAGCCAGGTCTGCTCCAGTCTGCTCATTGCTGTGGGCCTAGGGAGCCACGCTGGTGGATCCATGGGCTAAGGGAAAGGCAACCAGAGTGGATCTCCCCGCTTTCTGAGGGCGGGGTTTTGAATTCTTTCCAGAGGCCTGGGCTCTAGCCATTGGCAGAGCTGGTGTGTCAGACTTTGTGATTGGTGGCTCCATCAGGCCTGGCAGGAGACAGGCTGTCCCAATGCAGAGGGCCCCGATCACCCGACTCCTAGGGGACACTGCAGTCTCTGATTGCGGTGCTTCTTGGGCTGGGGAGCCAGACAATGCCCCGATGGCCCATGAGTGTGGGTGGAGGGGAAGGACACCAGGCCCGTCTCTGAGCTCAGGTCTGCATCCCTCGGCTCGGGCAGGAAACGCTTGGCGTGCGCCCACTCTCTTCATTGCTTCTGCGCAGGCTGAAGTTCGATGGGGCGTCCGACTCCCCTGACACAGACGAGGGGGCCAAAGAGGAGGAGGAGGAGGAAGATGAGGAGTACGTCCCGGAGTGGCAGGAGGAGTATGATGATGAAGACCTTGATGACGACAACTTTTCCTATGACGATGAATCGGAGAATCTAGAGCGCGATTCCTTCTTCTTTGACGACGAGGATGAAGCTTATGACTAGAGGGGGCTCAGCAGCACGGGGGCCCATCTTAGAGCCTAACGTGACGCCACCTCTCCTCTGCCAGCCAGCTCTGCACACACCACCACTCCCTGCTCTGCCCCAGCCATGCTCGGGGGCCCCCAAACACCAGCAGGGGCTGTTCGCTAGTTTCCAATAAAGGGAAGTTTCCTTTTAGGGCTGGTTGCTCCGTGACTCTGTTGAACTTGCTTGGCCACTGTCCCTGGGCCCAGGTCCCAATGCTCTTACCAGCCCTGGCAAGAGGGGACTACCTGTTACCTCTGCTCCTTTCCTAGCACGTACCCTCCGGCATACGGCTGGCCCCAGTGGATCTCAGCAGAGCAGCAGCTGGCAGCCTGCAATGGGGGCAGCTGTTTCCTTGAAGGCCTGGCCCCTGGGGAGGGTGGACAGGCCCAGTTGGGGGTGTGAAGGGATGTGCTGTGTGCAGTGCCCCATCCCTTCCCCAGTAATACCGTTCCCACCTGCCTGGCTTCTGCCGTCTCAGCCCGGCATGCCAGGAAATAGCATCTCCCAGCCCGGGGGCGGATCCCACACGCGGACTCCTGGTGCCAGCAGTGCCTCTGGAAGTAACGTGCTGCCTCTGGCCCTGGGTGAACTCGCCGGTCACACTCGGTGAGTGAGAATTTCACAGTGCGGGGCCACTCCCATCCGCTGCACTGCATCTTCCAGAATGGGGGCAGGCCCGGCAGGGCAATGCACACGGCAGCAGGGGGAGATGGGGACGGTTCTCAAACTGAGTGTCCAAACTGGAACCAAAGTGCCCCCCGGAGCTGCCTGGGGGCTTGGCGCGGCCACCCCAGCCCGGCCCAGCTGTGTGTGTTTTGGGCCTGGAGGGGCGCGTTGTCTGTAACTGCATTTTTGCTCATTTACCATTGGAGCTGTGGCCTTCTCTGGCGTGAAGGGGGGTTGTGCGGGAAGGCTGTATAGATAGTATAAATATATATATATATGTGCAGAAGCTGTCATTGTTCACAGATTATGCTTTATCTTTCTGGAAAAGAAAAACCCTACAGATACAACTTCCGTTTATGAAATAAACGGCTTTTCTTCTAGCACCAGCCTCCGTGTCCTCCTGTGGGGCTGGGGGGGTCCCCCCAGAAGAGCCCAGCCCCTCCGTCAGAGCAACCGGACATGGCCCTGTTGCTTCATGAAGGTGCCTCGTTTTGCGGAGAGGGAGTGGCTTGGCCACGGTCCTCCAGGGGGTTAGTGGTGGAATGAGGAGAAAACCCGTCTCCAGGCCCTGGACCATGCTGCGGGCTCTGAGCCATAGGCCGAGCCGGCCTCTGTCCAGTCGGACAGTAGCTGGGAACTTGTCAGGCTACGGCAAAGAATCCCCACCCCACCCCTGGCTCGTGTGGGAAAGAAACGACTTCTCAGCAGGAATCTGCCCCTTGGCCTATGTCATGCACCCGCTCACTCTAGATCAAGGGTAGGCAACCAAAGGCGGCACACGAGCTGATTTTCAGTGGCACTCACACTGCCCGGGTCTTGGCCACCGGTCTGGGGCTTCTGCATTTTAATTTAATTTTAAATGAAGTTTCTTAAACATTTTAAAAACCTTATTTACTTTACATACAACAATAGTTTAGTTCTATATTATAGAGTTATAGAAAGAGACCTTCTAAAAACGTTAAAATGTATCACTGGCACGCAAAACCTTAAATCAGAGTGAATAAATGAAGACTCGGCACACCACTTCTGAAAGGTGCCAACCCCTGCTCTAGATGTTCCTGTCCCTCTGGCTTGTGCTCCAGCGATCCCGCTGCCCTCCTCTGTCTCCCTGGGCCACTGATTTGGGGCCACCTCTTCCCCGTAGGGACAGGGGCCTGTGCTGGTTAGAGCTGGCAGTGCTAGGGGGTGGTGGGCCCACCCTCTGCTCTGCATTCATGGTCATTCTGGGAACAGAGACCCCAGGGGGACCCTGGAGCCCTGCAGCCTCATTCTCCCCTCCCTCCATGTGCATCTCAAGCATTGAGCTGTGAACACTGGCTCCGACTATCCTGTCTCGGGCGGTGTTTCTGTCTGAGCTCCAGGTAGAGCATGTGCGATCCTGCTGCCCCTTCACACTCCCGCATTGGGCAGCTTTGCTAATGCGGGCTTGGCTGGGCCGCCAGGGGGCCCGGGCATCCCGCTGCGGAGGGGCAGAGCTAGGGAGCGTGGATTGTGCAGAGACCCTGGAGGGAGGGCCAGCGCTCCCTGCCGGAAGTGTACTCCCAGAGCCGGACGGCTCTTGCTGCTGCAGCTGGGGCGATGCGGCTGCTGGCGCGTACCTGAGCCAGGTGGCTGTCTGGGAACGAGGCTAGTGTGGATACAGCCTTGTATCCCAGCAATGCACGTGCCTGCGTGATTCCGACTCCGGCCAGGCCCACACCTTTCGCGCTAAGATCCTGGGCCCACCACGGCTACGTCGACACCGCAGACAACGTTAAGAGTGATACCAAAGGTAGGGGGTGGGGGAGGGTTTTCTGCAGAGCCTCTGGCTTACTTGGTTTCTTGGCAAACACCCAAAAACATTCGTTCTAAAGGGCCCTGGGATGGGTTGAGAGGGAAGGCCCGGCCACGCAGTCTGTTGGGGAGCAGGCTGGGCCCCCTGGAAAAGCTAGGCGGCGGTGTAGCCATGTTGGGAGAGGGACTGGGGGCCTCCAGCCTGGTGCTGGCATAGAGCTCACACTGCAGGCACACGGGGCCGTTCTCTCCAGGGAGCCTGGCCCTGCACCCCTGGGTGAGTGGGAGTCACTCACCTGGGCTGCTCCCCTTCCCAGGGATGGGGGTGCTGGACCTCCACTAGGAAACTGAAGCTGTGTTGGCTTTGGGAACGATCAGCCACCGTGCAGCGCAGGCTCATCCCCAAACCCAACAGCCCCATTAGCTCTGAATGGGGGAGAGACCCCAGGCCTTGTTAGCCAAATGGGCTCGTTTCCCCCCCTGGAGCTGCCCAATTACCCCAAGGAGGCACGGGAG